TTAATTAATCTATTAATTTATTCATCAATTTACTTATTTATTCATTTTATTTTATTTTACCAAATTATTGATTAGTGGCAATCTTACCACATCCGATCAGGAAAAGTAAATTAAAGTAGTCACCTTAGAGCAATCCAAAAAAGAAAGACCTCTAATCCAGCAACACTACAGCACTCACAAACCTATTGCTTAATAAGCACCCAATTACCTTAATTTTACAGAATATTGTCAGTGCTGGATTTCCAACACAACTCTAATCAAAACAACTCATTCACAAAAACCCTAATGTGCAATTATCAATTACATCAATTCATCAGTCTGTTGCCAAGTTCCTGTGAAATGGTCACAACATGAAATATTCTATGCATACACAATGTATCTATTATATCCTGTAAGGGAAAGTAGGTTTTGTGGATAAGAACAGTACTGGCCTTAATTGGACTTGATTGTTGTCGCTTGATGTACTCGTCAGCACCTCCTCTCTCTCTCTCTGTCTCCTCCTTCTCGTCTCTCACATGACAGAAGAACAAAGGAACATACAAGAATTTAGTAGTTTATGCATACTTATGTTCACATTCACGCTAAGAAATAAGCAAACAGCTTAACTCAGGAATATTATAAATAGCTCAATAACATTTTATTTTATTTATTTATTTAATTATTTTATTTATTTTTAATCCATCAACATATCTCTCATTCATCAACTCAACCGATGTCAACCAAACAGTTCCACAGCCAAGCAACAGTTAATTCAACAAACAGAACGTTCGTGCAAGTCTCCCCCTCCCTCTTTGTCTGCTCTGAGACTGCGTCTCCCAGCAGCTCAGTGCAGGCAGGGGACATTTGTTCTACGTAACTCTAAACTCATAAAATCCCACGCATGCGTTGTTCATTCACCAATGCGATTTCAGGGTGGAAGTAGCTCTCCCAAGCAGCTCTCTCCCAGCCAAACAACAGAGTAGACAGACCCGCTGTCGCTCCGTTCTCTCCCCCCATAGACAAACAATAACACTTAACAAAACTCACAAACGAACACGGAACACAGAACATAGAACACAAATCCTACTTCGAAGTTTCTTATCTTCACTTATAGTAATCTGCAGATTTATATTTATGTTGTTATCAATTACAAAACATCACTATATACTCTTAAAAACTCCTCCCTGTAGGCACATGATTTTTAATAGTTAATAAACGTTCTCTTTTTATAGAGACTCATAAGATTTTTAACCTTAACTTACATATTTCCTTACAAAAAACTAAAACCCCTGTTGTCATAGCCCTGGTCGACACACAGCTGGAACACATCAGAGACCTCTCCATGTACAGACATGCAGCGGCTCTCTCTGTCTCACACACACACACAGGCTCCGTTCCTCTCATACACACAGTTCAAGAGGAATGCATCCGTTCAGACAATACACTAAGCATGCTACCGTCGCTCCTTATTTCTCTTGTTCCTTCTAAATTTCTGCTACCTCGAGTTGTAGACATTCAATGAGAGGTCACTTCGGACATATAATTCGTCAACCATATTCCGAGAGGTAACATACAATTGAATATATCTTCTACAATCCCACAGTTCCCAGAACTGACCCGAGAGTCAATCTAATAACTCTCCTAGGATTTATGGCCCATCTTAATGATCGCCTCGTTTGAGGGCTTCCTTAATTAGCGATGTCCTAAAAGTATACTTTTTCCTTATTCCTGGCCTTATTCCTTCATGCTTTTCCTGGACACTCCTTTTAATTTTATTCAAGCCAAATATCGGTGTGCCCTATCGGTGTGCCCTATAGACACTCCCCCCTGTTTGCGTTGTTTCCAACGCAAACAAATGTAAAAATTTAGAACGGAATTCTCATCACACAGCAAATAACAGCAAAGCGCACACACAAGTTATTTGACGGTACATCCCCCCAGTGCGCACACACACAGCCACACGAACTGACCAGCGCCCAAAGTTTGTGAGAAAGCTCACCGTATCTGCATGCCTCTTGAGCGGGAGTCACCTCGCAGCCCATGAATGGAACGCTGAGAAAAGATGCAACACGCCCCAATTCTCGTCGCCATTCTGTTGTGTCTGAAAATATCTATGTAGTAATGCTTTCCAGATGTTTCAGCAAACAGAGCCAAGTTCCTCTAACACACTATTTGCGAATGTCAGCACAATCATAGACCCTCAGCCACTACATAAGCAAAACAATTAAATACATAATTCTAACATTGTCTAAAATTATGAATAAGATACTAATGAGATAGACCTAATATAGGCAATATAACAATGCAGCTGTAAAAACTATGGCATATATGACGATAAGCGGTTAAGAGGCAAGCCGTAATTTCGATGAAGACATGAGCGAGCTGAGACGGTAGTAGCCTATATGCCGCCTATTCGTTCAGGACTTTTTTAATGGATTACGACATAATTCAGAACATGGGCCGTTCTTACAGTATTCTCCCTGCACACCAAGTCCGAACAGTAGGCTAAATTAATGGGGGCACATAAGCAGACAATGAAAGCTTTTCAATGGGGGCACGTAAGCAGACAATGAAAGCTGTTACAATATTCGATGATGACATTTCTCTAAAACAGGCTATAGGCTACATGTGCACCACCAAGTCAGATTAAATTGAGTTTACCATTGAAAGATGGGAGTCTGTAGGATTTTCCCTTGAGCACGAATTATGACCACATTTCCGCTACCTCAAACATTATCAGTATTTATTCATTCCATATAGCTGAGCATCTCAAAGAGAACTCTATCGTCTTTTTTAAATCTAGACTACATATACCACAAACGTGTCATTGACAAACTCATTTTAATTAGATCAGATAGGTGTGTTGTAACTGTTGCCAAATAATTAAATTAGCATATATTGCTAAGAACGTGAGAGCAGGGTGACTCCCATAGTGGGTCTTGAACCCAGCCCTCCAGCAAACACCCTAACATCTGTCCCAATAAGGGACCCTAAGCACGGTCCCAAAAAGGGATATTGCAAGTGCATGTGCTTATTGGGCCCTGCCCAGAAAAAACCCTAACCCCTCCAATTTGAGTCACCTAAAATACTAATGTTTTAGCATCATAGTTTTAGTGGAAATAGGTTTTATTTGTTGTTTTTTATCTATCCTGCCCGTTGACCAAAAAAACATTTCTGAGGAATCACCAGTAGGAGGCACCATGGAAGTAAGTTTGATGAGCTTGAAGATGAAACAACACTTTGAGCATACACACTTTGCCTTTGGAATGGTCAATTTAGAATAAGAGTTCTTCCCTCCATATAAAAATGTCAGGTCTTGTTAAGAGCATGACCAGAACCCCGACCATGAACAATAGGAACAGCAACATCACCCACTCTCGCTATCTCTGCCTGGGGTTACTGGATAAATTCCAATCCTGAAAGTTGATGACAAGAAAGCAAAAGCATAAAATGATGTATCGGGGCAGCTGCTGTAACCTATATAGCCATACCAACTAAAGAGAACATGTTTTCATTCTGTATTCATTATATCTCGTTATAGATATAATGAATTGTATTTACACGGGCAGGTATATGTGTGGTTAATAAGGTGTTACTTGTCTGAAACACTCAGTCAATCAGCAATTTCCATTTATGATACTTTAATACATTTTACGTTTCTCTATGGCTTTTCCCTTTGAGATTTTAACGTTACAGCCAGACAAAATGACAGCTTAATTTTTTTATCGTTTGTTTGTATTTCCATTTTGTGATCCATTGCCATAGCGATATTTACTGGAATTCACCTGATATCCCCGGTCAGTGTACTTTGGTCTCTGTACGTAGTACTCCACCCAGTACTAAAGTAATATAGTTGTTATCAATGATATAGTGTCGGAAAAACCAGACCTAGGGCAACAGCACTAGTTTATGTCCGAACATTGTTAACGTGGGATGCAACATGTCTGCCGAGGGAGACTATTAATGATACACAAAAATCATCCGAATATTTTTTAGAGCCTTTAAACCTGTGCTGTGATTTGACAACATGCAAAAGGCTGTGATTTGACAACATACAAAAGTATGTGTTTATACATTTAAAGATGTAGGGTGGCAGTTAGCCTAGTGTTGGCCAGTAACCGAAAGGTCGCTGGTTTGAATCCTGTTGCTGTGCCCTTGAGCAAAGCACTTAACCCTAATTGCTCTGGATAAGAGTGTCTACTAAAGGGCCTCCCGAGTGGCGCAGCGGGCCACAACCGGCCGTGGCCGGGAGTCCCATAGGACGGAGCACAATCGGCCCAGCGTCGTCCGGGTTAAGGGAGGGTTTGGCCTGGGGGGCTCTACTTGGCAGCTGGCTGGCTGGCGGGTGTTAAGGAGCACGGTTAGACGCGTCATGACTCCACCTTCGCCTCTCCAGAGCCGGTTGGGGAGTTGCATCGATGAGACAAGCTCGTAATTGAAATTGGGAGAAAAAAAAGGGGGTACAAAATAAAAAAAGTGTCTACTAAAATGTAAGATGATGTTTTGCATTTTTTAATGTCAGACCAAGGATGATCTCTAAACCTCTTGTGAAGTATTTCAAGAATCAAGATGACGACTAAGTTCTTCTCTACATACAAAGCATCTTTAATATACAGTACTTGTCCCAGAAAGTAATCTGAGTAAAATGATGAACGATGTTGAACATAAAGATGCTAATAACCGGACTTCAGTTAAAGTTTGTTGTTAAACATATATACAAAATTTACTCAGGGTTAAAGACAGAATTGTTCCCAAAGTCTGATTATATTCCATCTTTTTCCGTTTTCAAATTGGACCAAACAGAAACTTCAAATGTATCCATCTCACTTCTTCTTTTCCATTCCTTCTTTATTCTCATTCCCTGAAGTTCCCGTTTCTTATTTTCTTGTCTTTACCCAAAAGCTCCATCTCGTCTACACTTCTCTTTTAATTCTTCCTGCACCGTTCTTTTGTGTGTGTGTGTGAACTGTGGCATTTATTGACACATAGCAGGGAGATAGTTTACTTCTTCTTAGACATACCAACCCTGCGACCTTGGTGTGCTTGACACGCACACCCCAGAAGCGCCTGAAACCACAGTGAGCCCTGTTCCTCTTCTGCCTCTCAAGAACCTCTCTCAGCTTGTTGTCCAGACCGTTAGCAAGGACCTGGCTGTACTTGCCAGTCTTTTCGTCCTTTCTTCTTTGCATCGCCTTCCTTCTGATTTCATTGAACTCTTGAGGGATGTAAGAAGGATGTGATGGGATGGTCTCGCACCTGTTTGTAGAGCTGGAAGGCTCTCCGTACTTGGTCAGACTTGTCTTTGTCTCACCAAGATGCGTTTCTCCCTTTACTACGACACCCTCTCTGTCCTTATCTACCCTTCTCACTACATCATTCTGTTCCATTTTCTCCACAACATTATCCTCTTCTATCGATGATGAATACCTGATGGGCAAAATATAGTCATGATAAAACACACGGAGTTTGCCTAATTTCCGACATATCTCTGGAGTCTGCTGTTTCTCTGTTATCAAAACCACATCATATCGTCTTGTTTCATCCACATCCTCTCTCCTGTGTACAGCATCCTCTTTTCTTCTCTCTATCAAATCATCATAATTTCTTCCTGTATCTGCCTTTCCTAAATGTTCCTTTCTTCTGACTGCAACATGTTGTCCCTGTCCTTTATTTCCATCAACACTGTGATCATCATCTCCACTTGTCTTTATTTGAACATACTCTCCAGCCTCTGTAACCCCATCCTCTCTGAGTGAACCGTGAACGTGGTTGGTTCCATGGTTCTCACGATCTGCATGTGCTTTGGGAGGGAAGGAAAATGAAAGACATCAGTGATACAGTTAAGGCAATTGATAAGAGCACAGTTCATAAATTAACTTACATTTCCTGTACACGAGTAGATAAGCGCTCCAAGAACTAGAGAGAGAAGAATTTGTTAACTTACATATTTATTTACTAATTGGAACGCCTGTTAATGTTCTGGTTTATAAATTTGGCGATAAACTTCGGATACATAACTGGAAACAAAAAAAACGTACCTTTCAATCAGTGGAGCTGGTTGGAGCTGTAAGGGAAGGAGCAGCAATGCGTCAAAATTAAATTAATAGAATACATTGCCAATGGCCTTAGATAAGATTCTGACGGAGTAGCATGGTAATTGTGGTGATTCCCCACCAAATATATTCAAAAATTAACTATAACCTCCATATCTGTTCTTGAAGTGATAACCCTTGTCTGGTTCACTCCAGTGGCGATTTTAGCATGTCAATCTTGGTGGATGCATGCCAGTGAAGCCACTACACAACTCTAAACAAAACATTAAATGCACTCTAATGGTGACAAACGCTTATGGCTGACTTGCTTAAATAAATATGGTTTCTACGGACTCCTTGTGGATTTGTGTAACTGGATAAGAACCGCATACTCTTTTGACTTTTAAACCATACAAAACATTATTACATTTATGTTCAGTAAATTCATAATGTGTGTTCTTATATAATTAACACTTATCTCTAAGTATAAGCAAGGGCAAGCAAACGAGCTAGGATGAGGTAGGCCTATTCGTTCATACATTTCGAAATGGACAGCGACAGAAATTCAGATAAATGTTAGTCCAGATAAATTCAGCAAGATGTTGAGGCCTTAACTTTACTCTTCTTTAAGGCACCACAGAGAGAGAAAGACCCAGACTCAGCAGTTAGGCCTAATAAAATACTTCAAATGGTAGGCTGTGTGGTTAAAAGAAAGCACAATACAATCACGAGGATGCACTTTTATAGACAATATACAGACGCACTGACAGCGCATTGCGCAAAACAAAACAACCCTCGCAATATGAACTGGAATTACATGGGTCTATTACTGAACTTGTTGTTGAACAAAAATATTTGAATGGGAAGAGACCGGCAAACATGGTTACGAGGAGGGGATACTATAATATAATGTACATACCCAACAACATTATATTATAGTAGCCCCTCCTCGTAGAGAAAAGCACATGAGCTAATTATAACACAAAGTAAGCAAAACAATGAAATACAAAATTCTAACATTGCCTAAAATTATGAATAAGATACTAATGAGATAGACCTAATATAGGCAATATAACAATGCAGCTGTACAAACTATGGCATATATGACGATAAGCGGTTAAGAGGCAAGCCGTAATTTCGATGAAGACATGAGCGAGCTGAGACGGATGTAGCCTATATGCCGCCTATTCGTTCAGGACTTTTAAAATGGATTACGACATAATTCAGAACATGGGCCGTTCTTAAAGTATTGTCCCTGTACACCAAGTCAGAACCGTAGGATAAATAACGGGCACACAAGCAGACAATTAACACTCTTACAATATTCAATGATTACATTTAGCTAAAACAGGCTATAGGCTACAGGTGAACTACCAAGTCAGAACAGTAAGCTATATGCCTATTCTTTCAGCCCTTTTGAAATGGACAGCGACAGAATTCAGAACATGGGCCATTCTTACAGTATTCTCCCTGCACACCAAGTCCGAACAGTAGGCTAAATTAACAAGGGACACATAAGCAGGACAATGAAAGCTCTAACAATGGGGGCACGTAAGCAGACAATGAAAGCTGTTACAATATTCGATTATGACATTTCTCTAAAACTGGCTATAGGCTACATGTGCACTACCAAGTCAGAACAGTTGTACAAACAGGCCCTGCAGTGCTGTCTCACAATTGCCACACAATTTAATGCATGCTACAATTCTGGCAAGCAGGTCCATATTCTCCTCCATTTATTGGTTGTGAAGATCGAAGGTCGATAGCTCATCTATATGCTGAGCCACAACGTTTGATTTCCCCAGTTTTACAGCATTGTCTATATGTGACTCACAATTCTCATGTTTTGAGACCCTTTCAGACAGATGTTTTAAATCCTTAAACCCAGACCACACACCCTCCACTGAATAGCAGGGAGGGGAAGCAAAATACTGATTGCTTTGAGATGCTTGCAGTTAGCCACTGCTTCCTTCCAAACCACTCATTGTTGAATTTGCGATTTCAGACTTGTTGTGTAATGTTTATGTCCAATGGCCGATGAGCACTGATATATTTTCTCTAATTTCTCTTAATGTGACAAGGGTTGAAAAGGATTTGCCAGTAGATAGTCAACTTGATTCATGATGATGACTGCTTGACTAGCTTGCAAGCTAAGATTTTGAAAGTATGATGTTCACATTATCAGTCCAATCAAAGCGATGGTAGATAAAACGTGATTTGACGTCATTTTATCTGTGGCCAATGACCTTGAGCCTTCTTGGATGGGCACTTCTAATGTAACTATATGGCAGCACCAAAGGGGCTTTTATTTTCGATCTCTCCCTGTAGATTTAGCAGTGACGTAGTGTCCCCATGAGTGACAGAACACTGAGCCAATCACGGCGCAACTAGAGAACATTACCAACTAGAGAACATTACCAACCCCTACGCTCCGTATTTTCCGCTGGCTCCCCCACCACCACAGAAAGCACTGAGCTAGTCTGAAACACCTGCATTTTGGAGCTGACTTCCTCAAGAAAGCAACAAAAGAGACCATGTTTGTATGCAGCTTTATGAACTCAATTGTTTTCTTTTTTTACATTGTTTGCAAACGGTGACACGTATTAATGGCAAAATAACATAATTATATTTTGTTCTGCCCCACCTGCCCTGAATGACGGGTTGCCACTAGTTCACTCACAGACCCAAATAAAATGGCAAATACAATTTATGATATTAGAATAATGATGATATTCAATTCAAAAAAAAAATAATAATCTTGCATACCTTTGTGACGTAGGAGTCATTGAACTCATACCAGTTATCATCGTCAAATGACTTTATCTTAGCAGTGTAGTGTCCACCTCTAAGACTTCCGAAATGGTCCACAATCGCATAAAGTTCATATTCACATTTCTGTTCAGATAAATCAAAAGACATGCCATGAATTGAATTACAGCTGACAAAATATTCATCACTTGAACTACATATTTTATTTTTCTGATGGGCAATCAAGTGAAGTCGATATACAGTACGACAGAATTATCGGTTTTAATTTAGTCTAGCTACATTGTAGACTTGTATGAGAACAGAACCTGTTTAATAAAGGTTTTGTAAGTAGTCTACCTCTGTCTGTAGTGTGTGAGGCACATCCACGCAACAGTTGATTTTGACATATGACATGCTGTAGTAGTCAAATTCAAACCGCTTGAGGAGCAGAGTAAGATTTTCTGGGTGATGTTCTATCTTGCATTCCTATATGTGACAGAGGGAAGCATTGTAATACAATACCTTCTACAGTGAAAAGCTTGATATCCATTTTTGAGAGACTTTTGGTACAATAATTAAAGCTGCACTAAGCAGAAATTGCTTCGCCATTTCCTGGTTGCTAAAATTCTAATAGTTCGCCTAATTTCAGTTTATGTGACAAAACAAGCACGTATAGTGTTGATGATCATTGTACCATCTAAACCGCTGTGAATACTGTATCTTTTCCATAACCAAAACTATTGCATTTTCAGCTGGTGTACAAAACTGAAAGTAAAAGACGCAAAAACTCAACTTAAAAGAACGGGAAGCATAGTAATAGTGCACATATAACAGAACTACCGCTTCTTAGACATGCTTTCAATGACAATGACAGATCTATAACACTTTAATTTGGTATAGTAAATGAGAATTCTAAATATGACTACTCACAATGGTTGCATCTGCTTTCTTTTCACATTCATCACAGTAGATCTGGTTTTCCCCGCTGACAGTTGAAGACTTGAATAACTCCTTAAAGCCATCTTTCTGAGAACACAAAATTGTTTCTCCAACATACTGATATAGTTGCCTGAATTTGTTTTTATTGTCATATTATATCAACTTATAATATTAACTACAAGACCTTGATAACTTAGACCAATAGTAGTGTAGGCCTACATAAAGTGCATTCTGAAAAAATTCAGACCCCTTCACTTTTTCCACATTCTGTTACGTTACAGCCTTATTCTAAAATGGATAGAAAATATTTTTTTACCCTCATCAATCTACACACAATATCCCTTAACAACAAAGCGAAAACAGGTTTTTGCAAATGTATTAAATATCAACAAAAAAAAAAACGTATTTACATAAGTAGTCAGACCCTTTGCTATGAAACTCGAAATTGAGCTCAGGTGCATCCTGTTTCCATTGATCATCCTTGAGATGTTTCGACAACTTAATTGGAGTCCACCTTTTCAATTGATTGGACAATATTTGGAAAGGCACACACCTGTCTATATAAGGTCCCACAGTTGACAATGCATGTCAGAGCAAAAACCAAGCCAAGGAAGGAATTCGCCGTAGAGCTCCAAGACAGGATTGTGTCGAGGCACAGATCTGGGGAATGGTACCAAATAATGTCTGCAGCACTTGAAGGTCCCCAAGAACACAGTGGCATCCATTTTTAAATGGAAGAAGTTTGGAGCCACCAAGACTCTTCCTAGAGCTGGCCGCCCGGCCCAACTGAGCAATCAGGGGGGAGAATGGCCTTGGTCAGGGAGGTGACCAAGAATCCGATGGTCACTCTGACAGAGCTCCAGAGTTCCTCTGGAGATGGGAGAACCTTCCAGAAGGACAACCATCTCTGCAACACTCCACCAATCAGGCCTTTATGGTAGAGTGGCCAGACGGAAGCCACTCCTCAGTAAAATGCACATGACAGCCTGCTTGGAGTTTTCCAAAAGAAACAAGATTCTCTGGTCTGATGAAACCAAGATCGAACTCTTTTGCCTGAATGCCAAGCATCACCTCTGGAAGAAACCTGGCACCATCCCTACCATGAAGCATGGTGGTGGCAGCATCATGCTATGGGAAGTTTTTCAGTGACAGGGACTGGGAGACTAGTCAGGATCGAGGGAAAGATGAACAGAGCAAAGTAGAGATCCTTGATGAAAACCTGCTCCAGAGCGCTCAGGACCTCAGACTGGGGCGAAGGTTCACCTTCCAACAGGACAACGACCTTAAGCACACAGCCAAGACAACGCAGGAGTGGCTTGAATGACTCTGAATATCCTTGAGTGGCCCAGCCAGAGCCCAGACTTTAACCCGATTGAACATCTTTGGAGAGACCTGAAAATAGCTGTGCAGCGACGCTCCCCATCCAACCTGACAGAGCTTGAGAGGATCTGCAGAGAAGAATGGGAGAAACTCCCCATATACAAGTGTGCCAAGCTTGTAGCGTCATACCCAAGAAGACTCGGGGCTGTAATCGCTGCCAAAGGTGCTTCAACAAAGTACTGAGTAAAGGGTCTGAATACTTATGTAAATGTAATATTTCTGTTTTTTGTTTTTTTAAATACATTTGCAAGAATTTATAAAAACCTGTTTTTGCTTTGTCGTTATGGGGTATTGTGTTTAAATTGATGAGGGGGAAAAAACAATTTAATCAATTTTAGAATAAGGCTGTAACGTAAGCAAAATGTGGAAAAAGGCAAGGGGTCTGAATACTTTCCTAATGCACTGTACATGCCAAATTACGACATAATACATTCCCACTGGACGATTATGCTAATATTGAATACCAATAATGTAGGCTATGGCATTTAAAGTGTTGGTTAGCCCTGTCTACATACATGATCATATGATATTTGCCATCATAAAACAATGTTTTTGCTGATATTTTTCCTACCACACTGTAGGTTTTGTAAGAGTCAGAGGGATCTGCTATTGAGAGGGGCAGTGTCCAAAATGGACCAAAATCATCACTCGTCACATGTCCATGTTTTCCTAAACAGGTAGTGATGTGCCTCAATTGTCCTTTGAAGATCTGGAGACAAACTTTTGTCAGTGTTGTCATATCATAACTTATAAACATTGCATGGTTAGTTAACAGGTTTTTTCCAATATGAGGTAAGCAATGCAGTAGCCTACCTTTGACACTTCAGGATTGACCATGCTTAAAATCTTCTCAAAATACTCGGCCGCATCACGTTGCTCGTATACTGGGGGGGAGGAGGGCAAATGAAGGGTCTTCTACTGCAAATAACTACAAACACTATATACTACATTACATCACAAGCTGCACATCTAATAAAGTTGCTGAATTTTTTAATGCATTCTTTATCAGCTCTGATTGCTCAACTCACCATCATCAATGCCCAGTATTGATGAGATGCCCTTTGTGTTAGTTTTAATTTCATGTAAAGTTGTAAACAACTTTTTCAGCTGAAGATCAACAGTGTCTTCTTCTTGAATAGGCCTATTACTGTAAAACATAAAAATAAAGACTGCTTTTGTTAAGATATACAGTATATGAGATGTTTAGTATTAATCTCAATGTACTGTGTAATGATCATGTTTAGATAGTATGACTCAGAGACATGTATTTAGTTAGATACATGGCTCTGGTATGACTCAATATATTTCTAACACTTTCATGGAGATACAGTATCCTTCGAACATAAAGTAAGAATTAAAACCTTTCTACAGCCTCTCTGAATTCCTTAGTCATGAAGAGGACCTGCAGCACACTGTTCAAATAACATGTTGCCCCTTGATTATACAGGCCATGGTGTTCTAAAAGGGATAGAGTTATCAATTAGTGCATAAATGATAAGATACAGATATAGCTGTATTGTGTTGTACAGACAGTAAATCACATACCTGGTCCTGGGGTGTGAAGTTTGTTGAAATGTTCAGCTCCATTGTTTAAAGTAGTCCGAATAGACGCCATAAAGCACCCACTAAATGACCTGTAGATTGAAATGTACGAATTTATTAAAAATAACTTTAGGTTATATGACATACACATCCTCAAGATTTACAACACCAGAATGTTTCCACTTCCATTGCCAGGCTAATGAAAGAATGTAATGGGGCTTTCAAATCAAATCAAAGTGTTTCTAGTTTCTTTAGTCAATAGAACAACACAAGAAAATCGAATGTAGGCTAGACTATAAATATTATTTAATCAAAGTTTACCGATTTATTCGTGTTTTCTTGTAGCCGAAAAGCGTCACTTCGAGTTGTCAGCTCTAAGGAAAAATAACGAGAGCTGAACCGGCTAAACTGCCACTATCATTTCTCCTAAACTACACTTTCGATTTCGGCTATTCCTGTCAGTATCTGCGATACATTTTTTGACTTAATTTAAGAACATAGGCTTGGCTCAATGATTCTTGAAGAATATAACTTTAAATGCATGAGTTTATCAGATAATGTAATGTTTTAATCTTATATTAAATTATTATAGGAAGGCTTCTAGACAAGCCCAGACTGTCCACCTGTAAGGTTCTGTATTTATTTTGTTAGTTCACCTTGTGTTCTTGAACGTGGCCCTGTTTCTTTGTGTTCTTGAACGTAGCCGTCTTTCATTTTTGTTCATTGATTTCACCTGTGTTAGTTACTCACCTGGTGTCATCAGCTCTTTATTTAGATCAGTTCATTCTGTTTGTGCCTTGTGAGGTATTGTTCGTTTTGACTCTACGAAGCGTTTTCCTAGCCCGTCTGTGAGAACCAGGTCTAGCCTTCAGTCCTAGTTTTGATTCACCTGCCTGTGACCACGATTCCTACCTTCTGCGAAAGCGAAATAAAAACCTGCCGCGCTCTGCGCATGAATCTACACCCTTTCTCCTTGAGTATTCATTACACCACCCAGTGTTTCTAATCACACCTGGACACACTGACACCTTTATGTTGCTGCATTATTAATTCTCTGCATGGAAGAAAATAAATAGTCAACCAAAAATATTTAGATACTGTTATTTTTGCGAAATGAATGAGTCAGAGAGAGTTCAGAATTAGGAGAACATGAATTTATTGTTGAATCATGTTGTTGTTGAAGACTTCCATACAGTAAAGTCACAGATATAAAAATATAATTTGGAAGTTCTGGTAACAGATTCAGAGCGTAAACAACATTATTTCTGGCCACATGATGTTTATCTTTTGTTAAAAAAAAGAGACCATACATTTATCAACATCAGTTCCTTAGTGTGCTTTGGCAGTGAGATTAATATCACAAGAGTAGAGTATTAAAAATACATCAAAATGCAGGCAGAGATGCTCTCTTCTGTCCATTTGTCAATGCCGCCATCCCCCAGGCACCCTCATCACTAGCTGAATGACAGACTGGTTCTGGATCCCATATGAGGAGAGCATGGATGAGTCTTCCAGCTGCTTGTTTGTGAAGATCAGTCGCAGGGTCTCCAGATTGTCCCCTAAAAAGGTCAGAGGTTTTAGTCAATACAGTTGACAACTAATACAGTTTCCTTATTCACTGCTCAACCATTTACTCCACAATTATTTGAAATAGTTAATTTAGTTAATTGAATTACATTTCATGAAACTCTCATAATGATTGATAATTAATGATTCCACTGTGGAATGAATATCTCTCTACCTGCGTTCCCCGGGAGTCTTTCGGAAATTTTATTTTTCAGTTGCAGTACTGTCGTACTTTTCATTTGTTCTTCTGTATTGGCCACGTCGATTACCATTTTCTCCCCCCTGAATCCAATCACTGTGACCTGGTAGATCTTTCCCATGGTTCTGAATATGTGTGTGAGCTGCTCAGGTGTCTGAGTTATTCTGTCTGTGGGTGTAACTGTTTGTCTATGTATGTGAGAGAATGAGGAGGGGAAAATACTCCTCCTTCTCAGAAGCAATAACTATTTTTCTACCTTATCACATGACAAATAATAAACAGACCTAACTTTTGAGTACATAAATGAAACTGAAAGTAGGTACAGTGACTTGGGATATCAGGGGAATACCATCACACTCAAATAAATGAACAATAAACACTGATAACATTTCTGAAACATTTTTCTTTTTAAAGTCTGGTTATAAAGAAAACCATTTTAATTCAATACATTTGGTGACTAAGATAATGACAAATTACAGCATATGATTGCATATATCATGAGGTTGTTTGCACGTTTATATATGTGTTTCAGTTGACTGTGTTCCTCATATTTTTTTGTTGTATTGTATTTACTTGGCCTAGTATTTACTGTCCCTATTGGATGTTGTTATATTTGCTATTTGCATACTTATGTTTGTTGTGTGAACAACTCCACAAAATAAGTTCCTTAAGAATTAGAATTGTAATGTTCAAGACCTCAATATCACACCAATCTCTCAAGCTGCATCCCCCATGGTTTGATTTTCATTTATTTGAGTGTGATAGTAGGCTATTCCCCTGAGATGGTATTCCCATGAGATCCCAAGTCACGGTTTATCTGCGTTACAACTGCGATTTAAAAGGTTAAGAGAACAACCTTAAGTAAATGCAGTCAACATCATTTACCGTATATCACGTGTCTTCTTGAAACTTGAAAGTGAAAGCTACTGATGTTGAATTACAAGTTCAAAGGGCTAAGCGCCGACTCACGGCGGAACATTTCCGCACAGCGTTCAAGGGAGACCACACCTGCCTCCCGTGATCATATCATCGTCCCCCCGGGTGAGTGTGAAGAAGTAGGCTGACTGTACAAGACAGTGAAGATAGAGAGCAACACGATGACAACCCAACAGCAGGAGGGAGAAAAGCGATATGACCCCGGAGACACCACGCTCAAGTTCGTCAACAGACAGGACGATTTAGATCGTAAGCAATCCATTTAATCAATAGACCAACAGTAGCCTGTTAAAAAAAAAAAGAAGAAAAAGTATGTATTCATTATTACTTAGCCCCAAATTGTCGATGTCCTCTTTGTTCCTGGAAGAACATAAGCAGTGTTGTAAAGTACTTAAGTACAAATACTTTAAAGTACTACTTAAGTAGTTGTTTGGGGTATCTGTACTTTACTATTTATATTTTTGACTACTTTTACTCCACTACATTCTTAAAGAAAATAATGTACTTTTTACTCCATACATTTTCCCTGACACCCAGAAGTAGGGTACTAGGGGGTAACTAGCCCACCCTAAGAACAATGTCTAATTGCTGACACAAAAAAGCAACGTTTGGGAAAATAATTGGTATGTGGATGAAGGTCATGCTTACACGAATAAGCTATAAAGGGAAATAAATGGTTACAGTTTACACGTTTTTAGTTATTTCATGAAATGTTGTTTTTAGTGTGTTAAAATCCATTTAATCTGTTCTATTTAGAAATTCTTTAGTAAGTAATACTTAAAAGCTAAAACTAGTTGTCTTATTTTTTAATGATTTAAATAAAATATGGGCGGGAAATGGTGTTGCACATGTCACCATTAACATCCGCACTATGAGGAGATTTGATGTAAAGTCCCTCTTTTTAACTCACCTGCACATTAATTGTATTTGTTCTTTCTTTGTTGTTCCTTTTCCATACAATCCATTATGTACAATTGCAGTAAATATGATTTGAATAATGCAAGATTTTAAATCCCAGCATTCTTTAAAATTACATTCAGGAGCAAAAGGTTTTCAATTGTTGTTTTTAATTCATAAAAAAAAAGATTCATTGTAATATAATATTGGAATGGAATATAAATAATAACATCAAAATAACATTGGAATATAACATTTAATAACAATAACTTAACTAATTAACTCAGTGTAACATTGATGTGGCAGCTCTCTTATGCTCTGCTATTGCACGATTCTAATTTGTACCTGTAGGTCACAAATAAAGCTATCCCCAGTAAAATTGCTATCCCCCAACACACTTGTCCAACATATTACTACTTTATTAAAACATATATCTAAATGTGTCTATCTTAATAAGTGGATTATTTATCTTAAGGCTTTCCTAATTGTATATATATTTTTAAAATATATAGATCTAACTTCATTGGAATATATCTACAACTTTTTCAACATTTCAAAAAATTTGATCAACTTGCAATATCTCAAAAAGTTGTGATGACTCAACAAGAGCAGTGACAGCCAGGGAAAGTGTTGGGAAATAATTTGGTGACATCTTGTGGTGTTTATGTGAATTACGGTGGTGTTTATGTGAATTACGGCCATCTGGTTTGCTTAATATAATGAATTTGAAATTATTTATACTTTTACTTTTGATACTTAAGTATATTTAAAACCAAATACTTATGGACTGTTACTCAAGTTGTATTTTACTGGGTGACTTTCACTTTTACTTTAGTAATTTTCTATTAAGGAATCTTTAGTTTTCCTCAAGTAAGACAATTGGGTACTTTTTCCACCACTAAACATAGGGCCTATGCTAAAGTTTTCCAGGGTTAATTATTACATTTCCTCGTTTTGTTCTCAGCCCTAGATGATGACACTGAGACTCTGAAGGCAGAAATGTCTTGTGGTCATGCGGTAACTCCGGAGTCACTGACCGGATGGTGTCGCAGCCTACTGGACCAGGTAGGCCTACTCACTATTCCTTAAAGGGATCATAACAAATCCCTTTAGAAGATAATAAACCACGTTTCGTGTAGTTACTTTTTTCTCAACTTGTTCAAATTACTTTCTAGTATGTCAAGCTAGCTTACAGAGTAGCTACAGCTAACTAGCCAGCTAGCTTTGTAGCCATGGATTGTGCACCTTTCATTGTTTAGCTAAGTAGCTAGTTGGTTGATATTTTCCTTTTGTAACCAGAGCAAATGAAAGCAACATTCACCTCCACAAATGCTGTTAACATTGATATCCATACTGAATGAATAATTTAAGGGACCTCATGGGCACCCTTAACTTTGTCACTTCATTTAAGGGGGATATCACCTTAAAATGCTTTGTGCAACTGACTTAAAGTTAAGGAAACTTTAAGGGAAAATATGTTTTATGAAACCGGGCCCATACTCAGGCTACTGTTAAGTTGCGTCAATTCAAATCTGGTATTGGGAACAAAAGAGGTCAACACGACTTCTAAGATATACTAGTATTTTAATTAATGCAAACACTTCAATGGTAAGTATGATGTTCGTATATACGGGTCCACTGAAATACCACACAGGGCAGACAGAGAACTGATCCATTGTTCTAAGTTCTTCTCCAAATACTCTGACAGAGATAGTTCCCGCTCCCTGCTGGCCAATCAGAGTAGAGTCTGAGCGTGGTTTAGACTTACTCAGCCTATCGTTGGCGCACAGGCTGGTCCCAGTCCCTTGGCGCTTCACTGTTGCACACTGTTGCCAGGCATAAGTTGTTATCATCACACCTTGTCCCGAGTCAGCACCCATAGACACAGTTCCCCTGTACTCTTTGTACCTACGTCCTTGGACGGTTCACAGATCACAAAGAGGCAGTGTTCGTGTATGTGAGACACAAGTTCTTATCTCCCCCTACTCCCTAAAACAGCTCCTCACATTAATCACAGCTTGTTAGGTTAAACAATTTATATCAGTACAGTACAAACCTTTTATGTTTAATCATTAATGCATTCTTTCTAAGCTAGGCATCACATCTAGTTATAAGAAAATAATTTCCCACACTACACAAAACGGGTGTTATCATAATTTTCAACATTTCAAAGTGTCCTTATGACCTCATAGTGTGGAAATATAATAATAAAAACTAAATAAATAAATAAACATTTTTAACTGCACTACCCCTTTAAGAATCAGTGGGTACAGTGGCTTGCGAAAGTATTCACCCCCCTTAATTTTTTTCCTATTTTGTTGCCTTACAACCTGGAATTAAAATGGATTTTGGAGTTTGTATAATTTGATTTACACAACATGCCTACCACTTTGAAGATGCAAAATATTTTTTATTGTGAAACAAACAAGAAATAAGACAAAAAAACAGAAAACTTGAGCATGCATAACTATTCAACCCCCCTCTACTTTGTAGAGCCAACTTTTGCAGCAATTACAGCTGCAAGTCTCTTGGGGTATGTCTCTATAAGCTTGGCACATCTAGCCACTGGGATTTTTGCCCATTCTTCAAGACAAAACTACTCCAGCTCCTTCAAGTTGGATGGGATCCACTGGTGTACAGCAATCTTTAAGTCATACCACAGATTCTCAATTGGATTGAGGTCTGGGCTTTGACTAGGCCATTCCAATACATTTAAATATTTCCACTTAAACCACTCGAGTGTTGCTTTAGCAGTATGCTTAGGGTCATTGTCCTGCTGGAAGGTGAACCTCCGTCCCAGTCTCAAATCTCTGGAAGACTGAAACGGGTTTCCCTCAAGAATTTCCCTGTATTTAGCGCCATCCATCATTCTTTCAATTCTGACCAGTTTCTCAGTCCCTGCCGATGAAAAACATCCCCACAGCATGATGCTGCCACCACAATGCTTCACTGTGGGGATGGTGTTCTCGGGTGATGAGAGGTGTTGGGTTTGCACCAGACATAGCGTTTTCCTTGATGGCCAAAAATATCGATTTTAGTCTCATCTGACCAGAGTACCTTCTTCCATATGTTTGGGGAGTCTCCCACATGCCTTTTGGCGAACACCAAACGTGTTTGCTTATTTTTTTCTTTAAGCAATGGCTTTTTTCTGGCCACTCTTCCGTAAAGCCCAGCTCTGTGGAGTGTACAGTTTAAAGTGGTCCTATGGACAGATACTCCAACCTCCGCTGTGGAGCTTTGCAGCTCCTTCAGGGTTATCTTTGGTCTCTTTGTTGCCTCTGTGATTAATGCCCTCCTTGCCTGGTCTGTGAGTTTTGGTGGGCGTCCCTCTCTTGGCAAGTTTGTTGTGGTGCCATATTCATTCAATTTTTTAATAATGGATTTAATGGTGCTCCGTGGGATATTCAAAGTTTCGGATATTTTTTTATAACCCAACCCTGATCTGTACTTCTCCACAACTTTGTCCCTGACCTGTTTGGAGAGCTCCTTGGTCTTCATTACATTTACATTTTACATTTTAGTCATTTAGCAGACGCTCTTATCCAGAGCGACTTACAGTTAGCGAATTTTTTTTTTTTATACTGGCCCCCCGTGGGAATCAAACCCACAACCCTGGCGTTGCATGGTGCCGCTTGCTTGGTGGGGCCCCTTGCTTGGTGGTGTTGCAGACTCTGGGGCCTTTCAGAACAGGTGTATATATACTGAGATCATGTGATAGATCATGTGACACTTAGATTGCACACAGGTGGACTTTATTTAACTAATTATGTGACTTCTGAAGGTAATTGGTTGCACCAGATCTTATTTAGGGGCTTCATAGCAAAGGGGGTGAATACATATGCACGCACCACTTTTCCGTTATTTATTTTTTAGAATTTTTTGAAAGACGTTATTTTTTTCATTTCACTTCACCAATTTGGACTATTTTGTGTATGTCCATTACATGAAATCCAAATAAAAATCTATTTAATTTACAGGTTGTAATGCAACAATATAGGAAAAACGCCAAGGGGAATGAATACTTTTGCAAGGCCTATCATTAATTTAACATAAATTCATATTAAATAGATCCAAACTAACCATACTAATCAAACAAATTATATATTTTAATATGAATTACATCATGCATATTAAACATATTGCACTATTTTGATATCCAATGTCCATCCATTTTCCTTGACAACTTTTCTTCTTTGTCCACCCAGAGTCAGTTCCAATTTTTGTGCCCTGCACTTGAGGATGGCACCTTTGTGAAGTGTGGTGCTGAGTGGTCTTACCAGGAGGTACGTCGGCTGGCTGTTCTGACCACTGAGGAGATGGAGCACTTTGAGAAGACCTTGGCAGCTTTGGCTGCTGCCAGATACTGCGAATACAAATCAGTGAGTGCATGTCTCATTGTTCAAATTCTTTGAAAGTTTGTTTTTACTGCTTTATATATTGTTATTTTTTATTTAACCTATATTTTATCAGGGAGTCATACTGAGACCATGGTCTCTTTTACAGATGAGCTTTGAATTACATAAATTACAGAAAATACACACATCAATATAAATACAAAATTCAAGTAGAAAGAAAAACACGGTCATAAAAAACAAAGACATTCATCAGTAATAAGGTCCTCAATCAGCTTTCTGAATTGCCCTAGAGGCACCAAAACATCACATTTAAGAACATTTTGAAGATTGTTCCACAAATAAGGTGCAAGAAAACTAAAAGCTGATTTACCTAACTCAGTAGAGACTAAACTAATTTACAGCATTAACCATCCCTGAGACCGGGAACTCATATGTCTAAAGTTTAGTAATAATAATATGCCATTTAGCAGACGCTTTTATCCAAAGCGACTTACAGTCATGCGTGCATACATTTTTTTTTTTGTGTGTGGGTGGTCCCGGGGATCGAACCCACTACCTTGGCGTTACAAGCGCCGTGCTCTACCAGCTGAGCTACAGAGGACCACAGTAAAGATGTTAGGTACATTGGTACTTTTTGTAAAAGGGCTTTATAAATGAAAACATAGCAATGTATCAACCTACGTGACATCAAAGAGGGCCAACCAACTTTTTGGTAGAGAATGCAGTGATGAGTACTAAAACTGTCGCCCGTAATTAAGCACAGTGCGCTATGATAAATTGCAACAGCTTTAATGAAGTGGCATTAATAATAAGGCATAATATACATACAACTACAGATCTATGAACAGGTGATAGATTATAGACACTAGGTAGGAACAAATCACCTCTCTACTACAGTACATAGCTTTGGTCAGAGATGCTTTACTGTGTTATCCAAAAGTAGTAATTGTACATGTTTTATTAGGCTATATCATTATGAATCTCTATGCATGCAGATAATTATAGCGATTTACTAATCTCCCCCTCTTACCCTACCCTCTTTTATAACAGTGCCCTGTCTGCGAAACCTTTGTAGAGAGAGAGGACCTCACCAACCTCAGTGTTCTCTGCACAGTGTGCACTGCAGACAAAGGTCAGAGGTATGAGTTCTGCTGGCAGTGCCTGAAGCAGTGGAAAGGTCCCGCGCCACGCTCTGACCGCTGTGACAACGATGGCTGTATCAACCAGGACCTGGAACTGCTGAAGAACTGCGAAACCACGTCTCTCCCTCAGGTGGCAGGTGTCACCGACTGCCCTTCCATTCGCGCCTGTCCCACCTGTGGCCAACGGGTAGAGCACGACAAGACTGGTTGTAAGAATATTCTCTGTCCAAGGTGCAATAAAGAGTTCTGCTTCGTGTGCCTTAAGCTCACGGAGGAGTGCTTGGATACCAGCTCATATTTCACAGCCTGCACTGAGGGAGTGGCTCCTCGGCAGACCTCTATACCCACTTGGCATAGAAACTGAAATGAAAGATACCTCTCATTCACTGCATACTGTAAACTCTGCTTACATTGTCTCCAATAGAACACGTAGGTAGAAATCTTGCTCCACTTACACATCTCTTTTCTGTGTTTCCTTTGTCTGTCTTAATTATAGCTACCTTCTCCATATATTGTACAATGAGAGTTTGTGTGCAGTACTTCACGTGAAGTATGTTTTCTTTACCAACTTATATTATAATCTTGGGTATTATACAAAGCGAGTTTCATAGTGTGTAGATTCAGTGCTTTATGTTCATTATGTTTTCTTTATCATTGTATTATTGTCATGTTGCTTATGTGCATCATTATGTAATGTAATAAACGACTGACAAAAGTAACACACTAAATTAAGCTGGCGTCTTCATGTCGGAACACAGAAGTTTGAGATCATAATAATAGAAAGAAGAAAATGCTTATACCAGTAGCTAACATCTACCCAATACAGTATTCTACTGGTAAAAATAAAACCCTTCAACTACCGAGCCTGTGCAGATCTTAACTGATATCTTAACAAACATTCCGTAATACTGTCTGTAAAAAGACTGGGCTAACACATCCAAGCAAAAACATAATGCATGAAAGATGAGCTTTTAAGCATCAGAAACACATAGCTTTCATTATATAGTAAATCTAAGTGGTATAGAAGTGGAGAAATGCTTTGTTTTAAAGCAGTGACAGTGACATTATTAATAACTGTGTTCATATTGTGACAAGTGTCACTAAACAATCATTGACAATACAACAACAATAAAAAATTATAAAATATAAGAATACGGACACATTCAAGAACAGTGTAATACGAAAGGGAAAATTCATGGACATAAATGTGCATGGGCAAATATTTAAAATGTGTATATTCTTCTGAGAAAAATATATAAAAAACAGTCTGACAGTGAGATCTATAGGCTATACACTGGATAGGTAATCAGACATGCACGGACAGACAGCGTAGTGGGATGGCGTGTGACTGGTGAAGATTCTCTAGTCTGTCTGTGAGGGGCACACCTGAATGGCATGACTCAAATAGCATGGCTGATACAAATACATATTTGACAGAGCCTCCCAGGTAGACTGTTTCCATGAAACATGTCTAGAACATTAATATCTTATATTCTGAGAACATGGCAACCATGTTCTGTGTATGTTTGGTGGGAAGTTGATGGAATATTCTCGTAACCCTCAGAAAACAGGACACAAATGTTATTGCAAGTTCCCATGAAACGTGTCTAGAACATTAATATTGAATATACTGAGAACATGGTAACGACGTTCTGGGTAAGTTCTGTTTGACATTAAGGCAATGGTTTCTTGGAAACAGTCCTTGCACGTCACTGGAACATTCCATGAAAATGTTAGGTAATGTCCTAATGAGACTCTTAAGGGAACGTTCTGTCAAGTTGTGCGAACTTTTGTTGTTAGCTGGGTTGTAGCTTTTGTAACTTTCTCACTCATCATTATTTATGATTCATTCATTATTCTTAATCATGGCATTATCAGGATACATTTTTAAGTGTTCAGAAACATCTTATCTACTCACTTAGAAAGAAAATTACTCCAGTCATCATTCACCATTCAGTCTCTATTGGGCAAAACCCAAAACCCAACCAAATCAAACTGGAAATGCATCCAACGAGTTTGTAAAGTCACAAGCTTGATTGCGTGCTAGGAACATGGGACCAAATACTAGTGGAAAATGTTCGTAAGGAAAGCGTAAGAGGACAAACCAAGGATACCAAATAATCAAGATTTAGACAAAGTTAATTATACATTCAAGGGCATTTTAATATCATTAGCAAAGTCATCATGGGCATACATTTATTTCATTAATGTACTTTTTTTTCTCATCCTGACATATGAAAGAGGTTTGCAACCTATGTGCAGTCTCATTTGTGACTGACTGACTGAACTATAACAACCAATATCCTTTCCCCAGTCATCTTGATGTAGCCTAAACTGACATTTCATCTGTCTTCATTGTTCATAATCTCATAATAATTCTACAAATAAATGTAAAAACAATCAGTCAGTAATTAGACACTTGCCCACTAGGATGTTGTTGATGAGCATGGCATTGCAGGAGGATCTGTGTTTCACCAATCAAATTAGATAAACAGGGAACTCCTATTAAACCTTCCTCTTCTGTTCTTCTTCTTCTTCACCTCTCCTGAGCTCTCCTTTTGCTCTCTTCCTATCTTTTCCTCTTTTTCGTCATCACATTCATTTTGCTTTTCCTCTCCTTTTCTCTTGAGAGTCAAGTCTGTTTGTCTGCTCCCACTTGTGTTCACAGAGCTAGGAGACTGTGTGGACTGACTTGGCGAATTGTGATCCTCTCTTCTCGCTTGCTCAACATAACCCTCCCCTTCCCTTTCCACACCACCCTTTTTTATGTTATCCTCTCCTGTCTCTTTCATAACACCCTGTTCCCTCTTCTCCTCATTATCCTCTCCTGTCTCTTTCATAACACCCTGTTCCCTCTTCTCCTCATTATCCTCTCCTGTCTCTTTCATAACACCCTGTTCCCTCTTCTCCTCATTATCCTCTCCTGTCTCTTTCATAACACCCTGTTCCCTCTTCTCCTCATTATCCTCTCCTGTCTCTTTCATATCACCCTGTTCCCTCTTCTCTGCATTATCCTCTCCTGTCTCTGTCACACACCCCTGTTCCCTCTTCTTTACATTATCCTCTCCTGTCTCTGTCGCACACCCCTGTGTGCGACAGAGGGGTGTGCGACAACAATGCAAATAGTCTGGGTAGCCATTTGATATAATTAGTGATAGAGTGGTATTACACATAATAGTTAACTTTAGTTTACTTACATTTCTTGTACATAAGCAAGTAAGCTCTTCGGGATCTAATAGAAAAATAACAGTGTTATCTTACAAATTAATTAATAAATAATTTTCTAAGGAAGGTATATTTGTGTTCTAAAATGTAATGTAGTCATTATATTCAACCATGCTTCATGAGATGTATAAAATACAGAAAAATAATAACGCTTACATTTCAAAACCTTGCGTAGATGGCTGTTGATTGAGCTGTAACAGAGGGAAAGCAATGGTGATAAAATGGTATACAATGGCCTTGCGTGACATACAGTATTACGTACAGTGGCTTGCGAAAGTATTCACCCCCCTTGGAATTTTTCCTATTTTGTTGCCTTACAACCTGGAATTAAAATGGATTTTTGGGGGGTTTGTATCATTTGATTTACACAACATGCCTACCACTTTGAAGAAGTAAAATATACACCAAACGAGTTTGCTTATTTTTTTCTTTAAGCAATGGCTTTTTTCTGGCCACTCTTCCGTAAAGCCCAGCTCTTTGGAGTGTACGGCTTAAAGTGGTCTTATGGACAGATACTCCAATCTCCGCTGTGGAGCTTTGCAGCTCCTTCAGGGTTATCTTTGGTTTCTTTGTTGCCTCTGTGATTAATGCCCTCCTTGCCTGGTCTGTGAGTTTTGGTGGGCGGCCCTCTCTTGGCAGGTTTGTTGTGGTGCCATATTCTTTCAATTTTTATATAATGGATTTAATGGTGCTCCGTGGGATGTTCAAAGTTTTGGATATTTTCTTATAACCCAACCCTGATCTGTACTTCTCCACAACTTTGTCCCTGACCTGTTTGGAGAGCTCCTTAACTTCATGGTTCCGCTTGCTTGGTGGTGCCCCTTGCTTAAAAAATAAATTATTTTTTAATGGTAGGTTTATTTGAACAGTGAGAGATAGAATAACAACAAAAAAATCCAGAAAAACGCATGTCAAAAATGTTATAAATTGATTTGCATTTTAATGAGGGAAATAAATATTTGACCCCCTCTCAATCTGGCTCCCAGGTGTCTTTTATACAGGTAACGAGCTGAGATTAGGAGCACACTCTTAAAGGGAGCGCTCCTAATCTCAGCTTGTTACCTGTATACAAGACACCTGTCCACAGAAGCAATCAATCAATCAGATTCCAAACTCTCCACCATGGCCAAGACCAAAGAGCTCTCCAAGGATGTCAGGGACAAGATTGTAGACCTACACAAGGCTGGAATGAGCTACAAGACCATCGCCAAGCAGCTTGGTGAGAAGGTGACAACAGTTGGTGCGATTATTCGCAAATGGAAGAAACACAAAAGAACTGTCAATCTCCCTCGGGCTGGGGCTCCATGCAAGATCTCACCTCGTGGAGTTGCAATGATCATGAAAACGGTGAGGAATCAGCCCAGAACTACACGGGAGGATCTTGTCAATGATCTCAAGGCAGCTGGGACCATAGTCACCAAGAAAACAATTGGTAACACACTACGCCGTGAAGGACTGAAATCCTGCAGCGCCCGCAAGGTCCCCCTGCTCAAGAAAGCACATATACTTGCCCGTCTGAAGTTTGCCAATGAACATCTGAATGATTCAGAGGAGAACTGGGTGAAAGTGTTGTGGTCAGATGAGACCAAAATCGAGCTCTTTGGCATCAACTCAACACGCCGTGTTTGGAGGAGGAATGCTGCCTATGACTCCAAGAACACCATCCCCACCGTCAAACATGGAGGTGGAAACATTATGCTTTGGGGGTGTTTTTCTGCTAAGGGGACAGGACAACTTCACCGCATCAAAGGGACGATGGACGGGGCCATGTACTGTCAAATCTTGGGTGAGAACATCCTTCCCTCAGCCAGGGCATTGAAAATGGGTCGTGGATGGCTATTCCAGCATGACAATGACCCAAAACACACGGCCAAGGCAACAAAGGAGTGGCTCAAGAATAAGTACATTAAGGTCCTGGAGTGGCCTAGCCAGTCTCCAGACCTTAATTCCATAGAAAATCTGTGGAGGGAGCTGAAGGTTTGAGTTGCCAAACGTCAGCCTCGAAACCTTAATGACTTGGAGAAGATCTGCAAAGAGGAGTGGGACAAAATCCCTCCTGAGATGTGTGCAAACCTGGTGGCCAACTACAAGAAACGTCTGACCTCTGTGATTGCCAACAAGGGTTTTGCCACCAAGTACTAAATAATGTTTTGCAGAGGGGTCAAATACTTATTTCCCTCATTAAAATGCAAATCAATTTATAACATTTTTGACATGCATTTTTCTGGATTGTTTTGTTGTTATTCTGTCTCTCACTGTTCAAATAAACCTACCATTAAAATTATAGACTGATCATGTCTTTATCAGTGGGCAAACGTACAAAATCAGCAGGGGATCAAATACTTTTTTCCCTCACTGTATATCTTCAAAATGTGATTAAACTATATCTTGGATGTCATGGACTTTCATCTACAGTGCTGTCTATGAATTTGAGAGGGGTTACATTTCCCTAGCCCCATCCCTCAGCTGAATACCAAAACAAATAGTAAGTGGTTTTGCTGTTTTTCGAATCCCAGAATGTACCTTTAAATGACTACTGCGGTATTAGTCCTGGTTTCCCATCCAACCCAATACAGTATATTCTCATTTGAAACCTAACAACTTGTTTACAACCTCACCCACATTATGATCTGTTAAACAAATGAGACGTAGCCCTTGTCTATTAACAGGGCCATACAAAAAGCATATAATAATAATATCTATCTAGTCATATCCCCTTCAATAAAAGAACACTCCTTACCAGTCTAACGTAGCTGTCATCAAACACATACCACTTCTGATCTTCGTAGGACTTGATTCTAGAAGTGTAATGTCCACCTCTTAGACTCCCCACATGGTCCACTATCGCATAGAGTTCATATGCATACCTCTGTTCAGAGATGTTGAATAAATCAAACAGTGACATGAACTGCAGAAAGGGACATCACTGGATTTTTTCTCCTTTATGTACCATCAACATAGTATGTAAATATCCAACTGTGTAACCAAATGAGAAAATGTGTGATAACAGAACCTGTTGAATGAATAACGTTGTAAATAATAATAATTGTAATACCGCTGTCTGCAATGTGTAAGGCACTTCCACACAGCAGTCGATTTTGACATAATCCATCCTATTGTAGTCCAACTGAAACCTCTTGAGGAGCAGAGTCAGAATCTCTGGGTAATCTTTCATCTGATATTCCTGGTGACACAAAATGTAACCAGAGACATTAGACTTTTTAGTCCTGATTATTTTAACCACTAGAGAGAGACAGTATCTTGTATAGTGAAAATTTTACTTGGTGGCGTTCTCCGTTTTCCAGTGGAAGTTTGGAGGTGGATGCAGGGCATAACTCAAACCCTTACCAATTGGAATTACTTTTCTAAACGTAATCAATCACATTTGTTTCTGCCCTCGAGGCAGAACTGCCCACAGATCAAGGTGGAATAATACATTTGGGAAATGAAAGGAGAATTCTAAATATCCCTACTCACAATGGTTGCATCTGCTTTCTCGTCACAGCCATCACAGTACATCTTATTGTCCCCACTGACCGTTGAAGACTTGAAAAACTCGGTCCACCCATCGTCCTAAAAACAACATAAACAGAAAAAACATTAAACACAGTTATGTTTGCCTTTGACTGAGACTGGGATATTTGCCTAAAATGAGATCATACACATGAATACATGGGGTTTACTCAAATCAATACTTCCTTGTCTGTTATACTGAGAGGACATTAAATTACACTTTCCCATGCAAACATTGTAGTTGCTAACAGGTGATAATGTTCCTTACCACACTGTAAGTTTTGTCGAAGCCTGAGGAATCTTTCATCGAGAGTGGCAGAGACCAAAATGGACGACTTTTATCACTGATTGGATGACCTTCTGAACAGGTGGAGATGTGTCTCAATTGTCCTTTGAAGATCTAAAGACAAACATTGGATACAATCTTTGCCTTCTTGTCATACCATTAGTTCTATAGACAGCATAACTTTAGAACTGTCAATTTATCAGTGATGCATTACCTTGGACACATCAGCATTGACCAGGCTTAAAATCTTCTCTAAATACTGAGCAGCATCTTGTTGCTCAAATACTGTGTGACAAAAATCAAATATATCACTCAGATGGCAGGCTAATACTACAGGATAATATTATGCACTTAAATATATTTACTATGATCACAAGTTACTAAAGTTAGTGATGCACAAAATGCATATTCCATGTGAGCTCCGATAACTAAACTCACCATTTCCAATTCCCAGTTTTGATGAGATGTCCTCTGTGCCAGCATTGCTTGTCTTTAAAATCTCAAACAACTTTTTCAACTGAGGACCAACTCCATCCTTGTTCTCTAGCTCTGGCTCCTGTTGTTGTTCTTGTTCAAACACTTGGCTGTAGGGAGACATTTTAAATGTATTTTTGTTTTTTTATTGATCGCCTATTTATTATTTTGAGTTTCATCTAAGAATATTCAAGATGGCTAGAGCTTGGCAGCTCACTAAATCCAGTACAGGCATTTTAATTACGATAAAACGCATAAAAAGTATCCAAACCTTTCCACAGCCTCTCTGAAGTCCTTAGTCATGAAGAGGACCTGCAGAACACTGTTCAAATAACAGGTTGCTCCTTGATTATACAGGCCATGGTAATCTGAAATAGGGACAACAATTTAAGGAGAAGGCCTGGTACTACAGCACCTTCAGAAAGTATTCACACCCCTTGATGTTTTTCCACATTTTGTTGTGTTACAGGCTGAATTTAAATGGATTGCATTGAGATGTTTTTGTCACTGGCCTACACACAGTACCCCATAATGTCAAAGTGGAGTTATGCTTTACAACATTTGTACAAATTCATTAAAAATCAAAAGCTGAGTCAATACGTTCAACCTCTTTATTATGGCAAGCCTAAATAAGTTCAGGAGGAAACATGTGCTTAACAAGTCACATAATAAGATGCTTGGACTCACTCTGAGTGCAATAATAGTGTTTAACATGATTTTTTAATGACTACCTCATTCATCTGTAAGGTCCCTCAGTCAAACAATGCATTTCAAACACAGATTCAACCACAAAGACCAGAGAGGTTTTCCAATGCCTCGCAATGAAGGGAACCTATTGATAGATTGGTAAAAAAAATAAAAACAGACATTGAATATCCCTTTGAAAATGTTGAAGTTATTAATTACACTTAGGATAATGTGTCAATACACCAAGTCACTACAAAGATACAGGTGTCCTTCCTAACTCAGTTGACGGAGAGGAAGGAAATCGCTCAGGGATTTTACCATGAGGCCAATGGTGCCTTTAAAACAGTTACAGAGTTGAATGGCTGTGATAGGAGAAAACTGAGGATGGATTAACAACATTGTAGTTACTCTACAATACTAACCTAACTGACAGCGTGAAATTAAGGAAGCCTGTACAGAATAAAAATATTCCAAAGCATGCATCCTGTTTGCAACAAGGCACTAAAGTAATACTGCAAGAAATGTGTCAAAGCAATTTACTTCCAATACAACACATTACTGAGTACCACTCTCCATATTTTCAAGCATAATGGGGGCTGCATCATGTTTTGTGTATGCTTGTAATCCTTAAGGACTGGGGAGTTTTTCAGGATAAAAAATAAATGGAATGGAGCTAAGCATAGGCTAAATCCTAGAGGAAAACCTGGTTCAGTCTGCTTTTCACCAGACACTGGGAGATGAATTCACCTTTCAGCAGCACAATAACCTAAAACACAAGGCCAAATCTACACTGGAGTTGCTTACCAAGAAGACAATGAATGTTCCTGAGAAGCCGAGATACAGTTTTGACTTAAATCTACTTGAAAATGAATGGCAAGACCTGAAAATGGTTGTCAAGTGATGATCAACACCCAATTTGACAGAGCTTGAAGAATTTTGAAAATAATAATGGGCAAATGATGCACAATCAGTGGCGACCCGTCATTCAGGGCAGTCTGTTTTGATCCCCACCTGTTTAGCAAAAAAATGATAGATATATACAGTGAAGGAAAGTATTTGATCCCCTGCTGATTTTGTATGTTTGCCCACTGACAAAGACATGATCAGTCTATAATATTAATGGTATGTTTATTTGAACAGTGAGAGACAGAATAACAACAACAAAATCCAGAAATACGCATGTCAAAAATGTTATAAATTGATTTGCATTTTAATGAGGGAAATAAGTATTTGACCCCTCTGCAAAACATGACTTAGTACTTGGTGGCAAAACCCTTGTTGGTAATCACAGAGGTCAGACATTTCTTGTAGTTGGCCACCAGGTTTGCACACATCTCAGGAGGGATTTTGTTCCACTCCTCTTTGCAGATCTTCTCCAAGTCATTAAGGTTTTGAGGCTGACGTTTGGCAACTCGAACCTTCAGCTCCCTCCACAGAATTTCTATGGCATTAAGGTCTGGAGACTGGCTAGGCCACTCCAGGACCTTAATGTGCTTCTTCTTGAGCCACTCCTTTGTTGCCTTGGCCATGTGTTTTGGGTCATTGTCATGCTGGAATACCCATCCACGACCCATTTTCAATGCCCTGGCATAGGGAAGGAGGTTCTCACCCAAGATTTGGCGGTACATGGCCCCGTCCATCGTCCCTTTGATGCGGTGAAGTTGTCCTGTCCCCTTAGCAGAAAAACACCCCCAAAGCATAATGTTTCCACCTCCATGTTTGATGGTGGGGTTGGTGTTCTTGGGATCATAGGCAGCATTCCTCCTCCTCCAAACACGGCGAGTTGAGTTGATGGCAAAGAGCTCGATTTTGGTCTCATCTGACAACAACACTTTCACCCATGTACAGTGGGGAAAAAAAGTATTTAGTCAGCCACCAATTGTGCAAGTTCTCCCACTTAAAAAGATGAGAGGCCTGTAATTTTCATCATAGGTACACGTCAACTATGACAGACAAATTGAGAAAAAGAAATCCAGAAAATCACATTGTAGGATTTTTTATGAATTTATTTGCAAATTATGGTGGAAAATAAGTATTTGGTCACCTACAAACAAGCAAGATTTCTGGCTCTCACAGACCTGTAACTTCTTCTTTAAGAGGCTCCTCTGTCCTCCACTCGTTACCTGTATTAATGGCACCTGTTTGAACTTGTTATCAGTATAAAAGAGACCTGTCCACAACCTCAAACAGTCACACTCCAAACTCCACTATGGCCAAGACCAAAGAGCTGTCAAAGGACACCAGAAACAAAATTGTAGACCTGCACCAGGCTGGGAAGACTGAATCTGCAATAGGTAAGCAGCTTGGTTTGAAGAAATCAACTGTGGGAGCAATTATTAGGAAATGGAAGACATACAAGACCACTGATAATCTCCCTCGATCTGGGGCTCCACGCAAGATCTCACCCCGTGGGGTCAAAATGATCACAAGAACGGTGAGCAAAAATCCCAGAACCACACAGGGGGACCTAGTGAATGACCTGCAGAGAGCTGGGACCAAAGTAACAAAGCCTACCATCAGTAACACACTACGCCGCCAGGGACTCAAATCCTGCAGTGCAAGACGTGTCCCCCTGCTTAAGCCAGTACATGTCCAGGCCCGTCTGAAGTTTGCTAGAGTGCATTTGGATGATCCAGAAGAGGATTGGGAGAATGTCATATGGTCAGATGAAACCAAAATAGAAATTTTTGGTAAAAACTCAACTCGTCGTGTTTGGAAGATAAAGAATGCTGAGTTGCATCCAAAGAACACCATACCTACTGTGAAGCATAGGGGTGGAAACATCATGCTTTGGGGCTGTTTTTCTGCAAAGGGACCAGGACGACTGATCCGTGTAAAGGAAAGAATGAATAGGGCCATGTATCGTGAGATTTTGAGTGAAAACTTCCTTCCATCAGCAAGGGCATTGAAGATGAAACGTGGCTGGGTCTTTCAGCATGACAATGATCCCAAACACACCGCCCGGGCAACGAAGGAGTGGCTTCGTAAGAAGCATTTCAAGGTCCTGGAGTGGCCTAGCCAGTCTCCAGATCTCAACCCCATAGAACATCTTTGGAGGGAGTTGAAAGTCTGTGTTGCCCAGCGACAGCCCCAAAACATCACTGCTCTAGAGGAGATCTGCATGGAGGAATGGGCCAAAATACCAGCAACAGTGTGTGAAAACCTTGTGAAGACTTACAGAAAACGTTTGACCTGTGTCATTGCCAACAAAGGGTAAATAACAAATTATTGAGAAACTTTTGTTATTGACCAAATACTTATTTTCCACCATAATTTGCAAATAAATTCATAAAAAATCCTACAATGTGATTTTCTGGAGGAAAAAAATCTCATTTTGTCTGTCATAGTTGACGTGTACCTATGAAGAAAATTACAGGCCTCTCTCATCTTTTTAAGTGGCAGAACTTGCACAATTGGTGGCTGACTAAATACTTTTTTCCCCCACTGTATATGTATATGTGCTTTCTTGAGCAGGGGGACCTTGCGGGTGCTGCAGGATTTCAGTCCTTCACGGCGTAGTGTGTTACCAATTGTTTTCTTGGTGACTATGGTCCCAGCTGCCTTGAGATCATTGACAAGATCCTCCCGTGTAGTTCTGGGCTGATTCCTCACCGTTCTCATGATCATTGCAACTCCACAAGGTGAGATCTTGCATGGAGCCCCAGGCCGAGGGAGATTGACAGTTCTTTTGTGTTTCTTCCATTTGCGAATAATCGCACCAACTGTTGTCACCTTCTCACCAAGCTGCTTGGCGATGGTCTTGTAGCCCATTCCAGCCTTGTGTAGGTCTACAATCTTGTCCCTGACATCCTTGGAGAGCTCTTTGGTCTTGGCCATGGTGGAGAGTTTGGAATCTGATTGATTGATTGCTTCTGTGGACAGGTGTCTTTTATACAGGTAACAAACTGAGATTAGGAGCACTCCCTTTAAGAGTGTGCTCCTAATCTCAGCTCGTTACCTGTATAAAAGACACCTGGGAGCCAGAAATCTTTCTGATTGAGAGGGGGTCAAATACTTATTTCCCTCATTAAAATGCAAATCAATTTATAACATTTATGACATGCGTTTTTCTGGATATTTTTTTTGTTATTCTGACTCTCACTGTTCAAATAAACCTACCATTAAAATTATAGACTGATCATTTCTTTGTCAGTGGGCAAACGTACAAAATCAGCAGGGGATCAAATACTTTTTTCCCTCACTGTAGATCTTATTGGCCACCCGTGAGAGTAAATGTCATCCCATTTTATCATGTTAAGTTTACATACTGCAAATTCTAATCGTCCTTTATTTTATTTGCATTTTACACATTGGATTATTTATTACATATTATAATAAGGTATACCACCTTACTGTATCCCAACAACGGGATATACATCGGCTTAAAGGGAACTCATACACCAATAACCCAGCATCAATAACCCAGCATCAATTACCCAGCATCAATAACCCAGCATCCAGCACCAATAACCCAACAATGTTTAAAGAAAACAACCCAACTAAGTGACCCAACGCCTGCAACCCAGGATCAACCAAACAACCCAGCATTTTTTAGAGTGTAGCGTAGTGGGAGGATGTGATTGGTGAAGATGCTCTATTCTCTATATTTGTCAAGCACTAGATTAATGAGAGATTTGTCCTGGATTCCATAACAGGAGAGCAGGCGTGAGTCTTCCAGAGTCTTGTATGTGTATCTCATCGTCAGAGTATCTGCATAAAGAGGTGAGAGTTCAGTGTACGATTGTCGTTAATAAGGTGGTACACACATTCCTACCATTGTTATTATCAACTGTTTATGACAATGTTAATCAATATGTTGGAGTTCCCTTGTTTCCCTAGTGATAAACCATAACATTCCATAAATATCATTATGTACAGTATGTATGTTCTATTCTGTATTGTAGAGTTCAACCTGCCTACCTATGTCCCAGCCTGGTAGTCTCTGGACAATTTTCTGTTTCAGCTGCAGCACTGTGGTATTGTTCATCTCCTCCTCTGAATGGCCCACGTCGATTTCCATTATCTCCCCTCTCAGTCCATTCACTCTAACGTGGAATGTTGCTGAATGTGATCAAAACAAACTTTATTATTTCATGAATCAAGGTTTAGACTAAATTACATTCAAGGGCATTTATGTATAATTTGCAAGTCATGGACATAAATATATTGAATTCATGTAGATGTTTTTTCTCTTTGGGACTTATCATCAGCAGTCTCTATGGTTTCCTGCCCGACTACATTGGTGCCAGATTTTACAACGCCTGGATAGGTATTTAACATATCAGCTATCCACATCATATGATATAGCCATTTGATGCCCAACTACACAGTCGATGACGTATTATTATTATTTATTTATTATTTATGACGTGGCATGCAACAATTAGTTGATGCAATGCAACGTCTGCAATGTAGTCGGGCAGGAACTCTGTGTTTGCTTTAACAGAGATTAATTGCTTGAAGGGGGAATGTTGTTAGACACAGAATATCAATGACAAAAGACAGAAATATTTTACTGAGATGTTTTTATGAAGATAACATTAGGTCAGGATCAGAATATTTGCAATCTGTTGTGCCACAAAGCTAAGTAGCTAACCCGCCATGTTAACGTCAACTTTGTAATGTTGATACTACTTGAAAATGCACGTTTTTGTCACCTTTCATTTTTTCATACATTGATATCTTGATATTGCCCAGTGTATGAAAATGTATGCACTCACTAACTGTAAGTCGCTCTGGATAAGAGCGTCTGCTAAATGCCAAAAATGTAAATGTAAAATGTATTGTATTCTGCATTCTACAGTTCCACCTGCCTACCTGAACTCCTCAGGTATTTCCCAGCAGTTTTATATTGTTATTCAATTTTATGTTTAATTTCTGATTGTAGTTTTAATATAATAGTCTATCATCATTGATTTCTTGACATTGCCTATTTAGTATGTGTGTTCCATTCTGCATATAGTTCTACCTGCTTACCTGACTTCCTTGATAGTCCCTCTGGTACTCGCTCAACAGTATTCTGTTTCAGCTGCAGCACTCTGGTATTGTTCATCTCCTCCTCAATATGGCCCATGCCGATTGCCATTCTCTCTTGTCTCTGTCCTTCCACTATAAAGATATACAAATATAAATGCAAGAGCACACTTTGCAACTTGGGTGCCTGTTTTAAAATGCTGTTCAGGTGCACTCCCGGCCCCTACCCCCCAAAAGATACATTTTCCCACTGACATTACCTGCTACGATTATTATTTTGACACAATTGAAATATCTCTTTCATTAAAAAAAATATAACATCAGGAAATAATTATATATATATATATATATATATATATATATATATATATATATATATATATACAGGCAGACCATACAAAGCTGTTTCTACACACTTACAATTATACTGACAATTACTGATAATTATAATTTAACACTCACCAACTTCTCATTTATTCATTTGAAATGTTTGTAATGAATTCTGACTCTAACTTAGCCCTGGCTGCATCTCCTGGCTGCATTTTGCCATTTTAATTTCTGTTTTACGTGTTACAGAGAAGTTAGACTCAGAATGAAAATATCCCTCACCAAGGATTGTGTTTCCTGATGCACTCCTCCCAGCACCAGTTTTTCCCAGCGGAAATATCCTCATTCTATCTGTTTTAATAGAAAGAACACACCATATTTGAAAAATGAATGCACTTGAAATGACTGCCTTACTCATACAGTAGGCTACTCCATGTTATCTGAGACCAAACTGTTTAATGCATTGTAATAGTGATGTATTTCCCGGTGGTTCAATGTTTACAGTAGATGTGGAGTTGTATTTTTATACATTAGGTTCTGTTCTCTCTATCCAGGGCCGGGCCTTGCCTTTTGGGGGCCCTAAGCGAGATTTTGCCTTGCAGGCAAAACATTTTAAAGGCCCTCTTTTTGGCAGGGGAGATACATGTGCAGTTTTAAAGCTAATTTCCTGCAATTCCACACATTTTGTCATGCGCTATGTTCATATGAGATCTCACTTTGAGTGACTAACAAAATCATTGGGGGCCCCGGAAATCAGGGCCCCTAAGTGCGTGCCCTGCATGCCCGGTCGGTAATCAAGCCATGATTACTACAAAGTTTAGGCCCCCTGAACACTAAACGATTTTACGATCTTAACATCGGAGTACCTGTCACCTGTCAGTACATTTTACCAGTCAGTCAAGCCAGATTGTACTGAGCTGGTTATCAGTATGAGTCGTAGGCTACACCTAGCTACACATACCTTTTTAGAGTGATTCGTTCATCGGGCTGAACTGTCAGGTTCGCACATATTGCATTGTTGTGTTAAATGAAATGCTTCAATACTAAATAGGAATATGAAAATGATAAATGCATTTATATTTTCATATCAGTTCGCATGATTCATGCCACCAATTGTATAACTCAATTCATGCAATTCTACTCATTTTGCCATGGAGCAGAGAGAAACATTTTCAGTTTTACAGCTAATTTCCTGCAATTCTACACATTTTGCCATAGGGTGGATGCAGTTTTTAATGGGCCCCACCCCAGTCAGTAATTTGACCATGCTTACTACAAGTTTAGATAGCTGGCCGCTAGACTAACTTACCAATCTAAAAAATATATGATTACATGGGCTAATTTAGTGACTGCTGATGCACAACCAAATTTCGAAATTGCACCTTGTGTATTCTATTATTCTAACGCTCACCAGTAAGTTGAGACCCAGACTGAGTTCCAAAAAATAAAATAAAAAATGATATATACAGTACCAGTCAAAAGTTTGGACACACCTACTCATTCAAGGGTTTTTCTTTATTTTTACTATTTTCTACATTGTAGAATAATAGTGAAGACATCAAAACTATGACATAACACATATGGAATCATGTAGTAACCATGTAGTAAACAAATCAAAAAATATTTTAGATTCTTCCAAGTAGCCACCCTTTGCCTTGATGACAGCTTTGCACACTCTTGGCATTCTCTCAACAAGCTTACATTTACATTTTAGTCATTTAGCAGACGCTCTTATCCAGAGCGACTTACAGTTAGTGAATACATTTTTTTTTTTTTTACACTGGCCCCCCGTGGGAATCGAACCCACAACCCTGGCGTTGCAAACGCCATGTTCTATCAACTGAGCTACATCCCTGCCGGCCATTCCCTCCCCTACCCTGGACGACGCTGGGCCAATTGTGCGCCGCCCATGAGTCTCCCGGTCGCGGCCGGCTGCGACAGAGCCTGGATTCGAACCAGGATCTAGTGGCACAGTTAGCACTGCGAAGCAGTGCCTTAGACCACTGCGCCACTCAGGAGTACAGCTTCACCTGGAATGCTTTTCCAACACTCTTGAAGGTGTTCCCACATTAGCTGAGCAGTTGTTGGCTGCTTTTCCTTCACTCTACGGTCCAACTCATCCCATACCATCTCAATTGGGTTGAGTTCGGGTGATTGTGGAGACTCCATCACTCTCCGTCTTGGTCAAATAGCCCTTACACAGCCTGGAGGTGTGATTTGGGTCATTCTCCTGTTGAAAAATAAATGATAGTCCCACTAAGCGCAAACCAGATGGGATGGCATATCGCTGCAGAATGCTGTGGTAGCCATGCTGGTTAAGTGTGCCTTGAATTCTAAATAAATCACAGACGGTGTCACCAGCAAAGCACCCCCACACCATCACACCTCCTCCTCCATGCTGCACGGTGGGAACCACACAAGCAGAGATCATCCGTTCACCTACTCTGCGTCTCATAAAGACACGGCGGTTGGAACCAAAAATCTCAAATTTGGACTCATCAGACCAAAGGATAGATTTCCACCGGACTAATGTCCATTGCTTGTCTTTCTTGGCCCAATCAAGTCTCTTCTTCTTATTGGTGTCCTTTAGTAGTGGTTTCTTTGCAGCAATTCGACCATGAAGGCCTGATTCATACAGTCCCCTCTGAACAGTTGATGTTGAGATGTGTCTGTACTTGAACTCTGTGGGGCATTTATTTGTGCTGCAATTTCTGAGGCTGGTAGCTCTAATGAACTTATCCTCTGCAGCAGAGGTAACTCTGGGTCTTCTTTTCCTGTGGCGGTCCTCATGAGAGCCAGTTTCATCATAGCGCTTGATGGTTTTTGCGACTGCACTTAAAGAAACTTTCAAAGTTCTTGACATTTTCCGGATTGACTGACCTTCATGTCTTAAAGTAATGATGGACTGTCGTTTCTCTTTGCTTATTTGAGCTGTTCTTGCCATAATATGGACTTGGTCTTTTACCAAATAGGGCTATCTTCTGTATACCACCCCTAACCTGTCACAACACACCTGATTGGCTCAAACGCATTAAGAAGGAAAGAAATTCCACAATTTAACTTTTAACAAGGCACACCTGTTAATTGAAATGCATTCCAGGTAACTCATGAAGCTGGTTGAGAGAATGCCAAGAGTGTGCAAAGCTGTCATCAAGGCAATGGGTGGCTACTTTGAAGAATCTCAAATATAAAATATATTTTGATTTGTTTAACACTTTTTTTTGTTACTGCATGATTCCATATGTGTTATTTCATAGTTTTGATGTCTTCACTATTATTTTACAATGTAGAAAATAGTAAAAATAAAGAAAAACCCTGGAATTAGTAGGTGTGTCCGAACTTTTGACTGGTACTGTATATATATGTATAATTTGTCAAATTGTTCCACGGTCATATAGAGTCAATGAACTAAGTAGACCAGACCCAGCTGCTAATGCATTGGTGTCAATGGGACATCCACCCCCTTTCTTCAATGGTAAACGGCCTGAGTGGGACATCTTCATTTATCCACCATCTTTGACGGAGATAAGAATGTGCCGTAAGCTCACTCCACAGATAGCTTAAAATGTCACCAATGGTGCTATCGAATTGGATCCTGTCACGATCGTCGGGAACAGAGGACCAAGGCGCAGCGTGGAATGCGAACATATTTATTAAATAATGATCACACGAACAAAACAACAAAACGATAACGTGACGTCCCTGGTTACATACACCAACCAACACGGAACAAGAAACCACACCAAATGAATGCCTAACGGCTACCTAAGTATGGCTCCCAATCAGAGACAACGAGCTACAGCCGTTTCTGATTGGGAGCCACCCTGGCCAACATAGAATTACAAAACCTAGAAATTAACACCCTGGCTCAACATACGAGAGTCCCCAGAGCCAGGGCGTGACAGTACCCCCACCCCAAAGGCGCGGACTCCGACCGCGCCAACCAAACACAACAGGGGAGGGACCGGGGTGGGCACTCCGCCTCGGCGGCGTATCCGGCTCCGGACATGACCCCAACTCCTTCTCTAACCCCCCAAAGTACCCCTGGTCCGGTCTGGCCCTGCTGACCGGAGCTGAACTGAACACTGGTGGAGCGGATTGCTCTAGCTCCGGCGTGACGCAGCTGACCCGTGCCGACCCAGGCAACGGTGGAACAGGCACGGGCTGTGCCGTACTGACGACGCACACTACTGGCTTGGTGTGGGGAGCAGGAACGGGCCGAGCCGGGCTGACGAAACGCACCACTGACTTGGTGCGGGGAGCAGGAGCGGGCCGGACCGGGCTGACGAGGTGCACCACTGACTTGGTGCGGGGAGCAGGAACGGGCCGAGCCGGGCTGACGAAGCGCACCACTGACTTGGTGCGGGGAGCAGGAACGGGCCGAGCTGGGCTGACGAAACGCACCACTGACTTGGTGCGGGGAGCAGGAGCGGGCCGGACCGGGCTGACTTGGTGCGGCGAGCAGGAACGGGCCGAGCTGGGCTGACGCAGCGCACCACTGGCTGGGTGCGGGGAGCAGGAACAGGCCGGACCGGGCTGGCGACGCGCACCACAGGCTCGGTATGAGGGACAGGAACAGGCCGGACCGTACTGGGGACACACACCACTGGCCCTACGCGGGGATCAGGAACGGGCCGGACCGGACTGGTAACACACCCCAGTACCTCTCGCCGTGCCTCTACACTTTCCTCCCCTTTTGTGACCAGTGGCCCCCGTAACCTGGCGGCCTCCTCTACTAACCGCTCTATCGCGGCCTCCTGCTGCCCCGTCGTCCACGGCGTGAGCCCCCCCCCCTAAAAATGTTCTGTGTGTCTCTCCTCCTCGTGGACCAGGCCTCCATAGTTCTCGCCCAACTCTCTCTCTTCTGCTTCCAAGTCCTCTCTGGCGTTGGCTCCTGGACACGCTGCTTGGTCCAGTTATGGTGGTTTCTTCTGTCGTTTGGTGCAGTGCTGTTTGCCAGTCGCTCTTTGTGTACCGTCGCACTATTGTTTTGTGCGCAGTTCGGTTTTGGAGTGTTTTCGCACTGTGGCGTATTGTTCGCCTCCGGGTTGTTTGACCCGTGTTGTTATTTTTGGATTTACAAGTAAAGTCTGGATTGACTTAGCTCCTGTGTCCTGCAATTGATTCGCACCACATCCGCATCAGAGTTCGTGACAGATCCTTTTGTATAGCTCAACTGTTTAGTACATTGTCAAGTAGACCTGCGATAATTATAGTTTTAAATATGCATTGTGGAAAGTAACTATTTGGGGAAAGTAACTTAATAATTACTTTGGAGGTGACAACAACTATTTGAATACTGATGCCAAAAATTACTACTTTTTAAAACTATTTGAATACAGATCACAGAAAGTGACTACCTTTTTAAAACTAATGGCAGGACTGTATCTGGAACTCACACACAATTTCCTATACTATTCCAATCCATCTGGATCATATTTGATCTACACAATACATTTATATCTGAACATTCTGTAAATGTCCATTCTCCTAAACAGGCCCCAGGTTTCTAAAGTCTATAGGTAACAACGTTGCTATTTTAGTAACCACAAAGTAATTTTTTAATTACTTAAAGCCCTCCAAACCATATGCTAATGATCTTATATTTAGACTAATTCAACTAACTGTTCTTTTTTCATTCTTCATCAAATACAGTACTTGGCAGCCATCAAATAATTTTTTTTTTTGTTTTCAAATAACTTAAATACCTTAAAATATTATTTGTTTTTCTGAGAGGTATTCAATATACTTTCACATATTATTAGATCGTCTGAGACCTGTATTTGAATATCAAAGGAAATAATTGCCTTTAGTTGATTCCCTATATTCAACAACTTTTAGTATTTGAAAGGTTGGTATAAATAAACTACAAAATACAACTGTTTTCTAACCAGGTCTTGTGTGCATACTGTGTGCAGAGAGATAACGGTACCTTATGGCTTAGTGGTAGCTGACAGAGCCGATAGAGCTTGTGATACTTACTGATGTCCTGAGTGACCCAAGAATAGTCCTTCTCCAGGATGCTGTAGAGTGCCTCCTTCTGGGCTTGAGTGGACATGGCTTCGTATAGCACCCTCATTTTCTCCTGGCTGGTTCTGGCAGCCAGGATGTTAGAGTTAACCTCTGGATGGATCAGTCCCTTTGAGAGCATGACATCTGCAATGGGCTCTACCGGACTGACCCTCTGAATCAGCTCTGCCCTGTGATCATCTACAAACTGGGCTGCTGGTAAATATCATAGAGGTTGTGTCAATATGGAAAAACGCTAATAAAAAAATGTAATATATACGTAAGTACTTACGTGTATATATATACTGTATATATACAGTACCAGTCAAAAGTTTGGACATACCTACTCATTCAAGGGTTTGTCTTTATTTTGACTATTTTTTACATTGTAGAATAATAGTGAAGACATCAAAACAATGAAATAACACAAATGGAATCATGTAGTAACCAAAAAAGTGTTAAACAAATCAAAATATATTTTATATTTTAGATTCTTCAAATAGCCACCCTTTGCCTTGATGACAGCTTTGAACACTCTTGGCATTCTCTCAACAAGCTTCACCTGGAATGCTTTTCCAACAGTCTTGAAGGAGTTCCCACACATGCTGAGCACTTGTTGGCTGCTTTTCCTTCACTCTGCGGTCCGACTCATCACAAACCACCTGAATTGGGTTTAGGTCGGGGGATTGTGTTTTTGACATTTTCTTGACATTTTCTGGATTGACTGACCTTCATGTCTTAATGTAATGATGGACTGTCGTTTCTCGTTGCTTATTTGAGCTGTTCTTGCCATAATATGGACTTGGTCTTTTACCAAATAGGGCTATCTTCTGTATACCCCTCCTACCTTGTCACAACACAACTGATTGGCTCAAAAGCATTAAGAAGGAAATAAATTCCACAAATTAACTTTTAAGAAGGCACACCTGTTAATTGAAATGCATTCCAGGTGACTACCTCATGAAGCTGGTTGAGAGAATGCCAAGAGTGTGCAAAGCTGTCATCAAGGCAAAGGGTGGCTATTTGAAGAATCTAAAATATGAAATATATTTTGATTTGTTTAACACTATTTTGGTTACAACATGATTCCATGTGTGTTATTTCATAGTTTTGATGTCTTCACTTATATTTTACAATGTAGAAAAAATTGTCAAAATAAAGAAAAACCCTTGAATGAGTAGGTGTGTCCAAACTTTTGTCTGGTAGTGTATATAATGTGCATTCGGAAAGTATTCAGACCCCTTGACTTTTTCCACATTTTGTTACATTACAGCCTTATTCTAAAATTGATTAAATAAATAAACATTCTCATCAATCTACACACAATACCCTATAATGACAAAGCGAAAACAGGTTTTTGAAATTTTTGCAAATGTATTAAAATAAAAAATCAGCAATACCTTATTTACATACGTTTTCAGACCCTTTGCTATGAGACTCGAAATTGAGCTCAGGTGCATCCTGTTTCCATTGATCATCCTTGAGATGTTTCTACAACTTGATTGGAGTCCACCTGTGGTAAATTCAATTGATTGGACTTGATTTGGAAAGGCACACACCTGTCTACATACAGTTGACAGTGCATGTCAGAGCAAAAACCAAGCCATGAGGTCGAAGAAATTGTCTGTAGAGCTCAGAGACAGGATTGTGTCGAGACACACATCTGGGGAAGGGTACCAAAACATTTCTGCAGCATTGAAGGTCCCCAAGAACACAGTGGCCTCCATCATTCTTCAATGGAAGAAGTTTGGAACCACCAAGACTCTTCCTAGAGCTGGCCGCCCAGCCAAACTGAGCAATCGAGGGAGAAGGGCCTTGGTCAGGTAGGTGACCAAGAACCTGATGGTCACTCTGACAGAGCTCCAGAGTTCCTCCAGAGTTCCTCTGTGGAGATGGGAGAACCTTCCAGAAGGACAACCATCTCTGCAGCACTCCACCAATCAGGCCTTTATGGTAGAGTGGCCAGAAGGAAGCCACTCCTCAGTAAAAGGCACATGACAGCCCGCTTGGAGTTTGCCAAAAGGCACTTAAAGGACTCTCAGACCATGAGAAACAAGATTCTCTGTAATTAGCCCACCCAACTACCTCATCCCCATATTGTTATTTATTTTGCTCATTTGCACCCCAGTATCTCTATTGGCACATCATCTTCTGCACATCTATCACTCCAGTGTTAATACTAATTGTAATTATTTTGCACTATGGCCTATTTATTGCCTTACCTCCATAACTTACTTACTACATTTGCACAAACTGTATATAGATTTTCTATTGTGTTATTGACTGTACGTTTTGTTTTTGTTTATTCCATATGTAACTCCGTGTTGTTGTTTTTATCGCACTGCTTTGCTTTATCTTGGCCAGGTCGCAGTTGTAAATGAGAACTTGTTCTCAACTGGCTTACCTGGTTAAATAAAGGTGAAAAAATAATAATAATAAATAAATAAAAAATGAAACCAAGATTGAACTCTTTAGCCTGAATGCCAAGCGTCATGTCTGGAGGAAACGTGGCACCATCCCTACGGTGAAGCATGTTGATGGCAGCATCATGCTGTGGGGATGTTTTTCAGTGGCAGGGACTGGGAGACTAGTCAGGATCAAGGGAAAGATTAATAGAGCAAAGTACAGAGAGATCCTTGATGAAAACCTGCTCCAAAGAGCTCAGGACCTCAGACTGGGGCGAAGGTTCCCCTACCAACAGGACAAAGACCCTAAGCACGCAGCCAAGACAACGCAGGAGTGCCTTCGGGACAAGTCTCTGAATGTCCTTGAGTGGCCCAGCCAGAGCCCAGCCAGAGCCCGATTTAACATCTTTGGAGAGACCTGAAAATAGCTGTGCAGTGACGCTCCCCATCCAGCTTGACAGAGCTTGAGAGGATCTGTAGAGAAGAATGGGAGAAACTACCCAAATACAGGTTTGCCAAGCTTGTAGCGTCATACCCAAGAAGACTCTAGGCTGTAATCGCTGCCAAAGGTGCTTCAACAAAGTACTGAGTAAAGGGTCTGAATACCTATTTCTTTTTTTTATTTTATTAATGTGCTAACATTTCAAAAAAACTGTTTTTGCTTTGTCATTATGGAGTATTGTGTGTAGATTGATGAGGGGAAAAAACAATTTAATCAATTTTAGAATAAGGCTGCAACGTAACAAAATGTGGAAAAAGTCAAGGGGTCTGAATACATTCCGAATGCACTGTAAATATACAGTACCAGTCAAAAGTTTGGACACACCTACTCATTCCAGGGTTTTTCTTTATTTTTACTATTTTCTACATTGTAGAATAATAGTGAAGACATCAAAACTATGAAATAACACATATTGAATCATGTAGTAACCAAAAAAGTGTTAAACAAATCAAAGTATATGTTATATTTGAGATTCTTCAAAGTAACAACCCTTTGCCTTGATGACATCTTTGCACACTCTTGGCATTCTCTCAACCAGCTTCATGAGGAATGCATTTCAATTAACAGGTGTCCCTTATTAAAAGTTAATTTGTGGAATTTATTTCCTTCTTAATGTGTTTATGCCAATGAGTTGTGTTGTGACAAGGTAGGGGTGGTATACAGAAGATAGCCCTATTTGGTAAAAGACCAAGTCCATATTATGGCAAGAACAGCAAAGAGAAACGAGAGTCCATCATTACTTTAAGACATTAAGTTCAGTCAATACGGAACATTTCAAGAACTTTGAAAGTTTCTTCAAGTGCAGTCGCAAAGACCATCAAGCCCTATGATGAAACTGGCTCTCATGAAGACCGCCACAGGAAAGGAAGACCCAGAGTTACCTCTGCTGCATAGGATAAGTTCATTAAATTTAACTGCACCTCAGATTGCAGCCCAAATAAATGCTTCACAGAGTTAAATTAACAGACACATCTCAACATCAACTGTTCAGAAGAGACTGCGTGAATCAGGCCTTCATGGTCGAATTGCTGCAAATAAACCCCTACTAAAGGACACCAATAATAAGAAGAGACTTGATTGGGCCAAGAAACACGAGCAATGGACATTAGTCCAGTGGAAATCTGTCCTTTGGTCTGATGAGTCCAAATTTGAGATTTTTGATTCCAACCGCCGTGTCTTTGTAAGACGCAGAGTAGGTGAACGGATGATCTCCGCATGTGTAGTTCCCACCGTGCAGCATGGAGGAGGAGGTGTGATGGTGTGGGGGTGCTTTGCTGGTGACACTGTCTGTGATATATTTAGAATTCAAGGCACACTTAACGAGCATGGCTACCACAGCATTCTGCAGCGATACACCATCCCATCTGGTTTGGGCTTAGTGGGACTATCATTTGTTTTTCAACAGGACAAAGACCCAACACACCTCCAGGCTGTGTAAGGGCTATTTTACCAAGAAGGAGAGTGATGGAGTGCTGCATCAGATGACCTGGCCTCCACAATCCCCCGACCTCAACCCAATTCAGATGGTTTTGGAAGAGTCGGACGGCCGAGTGAAGGAAACGCAGCCAACAAGTGCTCAGCATATGTGGGAACTCCTTCAAGACTGTTGGAAAAGCATTCCAGGTGAAGCTGGTTGAGAGAATGCCGAGAGTGTGCAAAGCTCTCATCAAGGCTACTTTGAAGAATCTAAAATCTAAAATATATTTTGATTTGTTTAACACTTTTTTGGTTACTACATGATTCCATATGTGTTATTTCATAGTTTTGATGTCTTCACTATTATTCTACAATGTAGAAAATTGTAAAAAATAAAGAAAAACCCTTGAATGAGTAGGTCTGTCCAAACTGGAAGTTTACATACACCTTAGCCATATACATTTAAACTCAGTTTTTCACAATTCCTGACATTCCCTGTCAGAATAATAGTAGAGAGAATGATTTATTTCAGCTTTTATTTCTTTCATCACATTCCCAGTGGGTCAGAAGTTTACATACACTCAATTAGTATTTGGTAGCATTACCTTTAAATTGTTTAACTTGGGTCAAACGTTTCGGGTAGCCTTTCACAAGCTTCCCACAATAAGTTGGGTGAATTTTGGCCCATTGTAACGGAGTCCGGTTTGCAGGCCTCCTTGCTCGCACACGCTTTTTCAGTTCTGCCCACAAATGTTCTATAGGATTGAGGTCAGGGCTGTGTTCTTTACATTTACATTTTAGTCATTTAGCAGACGCTCTTATCCAGAGCAACCACTGCGCCACTCAGGAGACACCTTGACTTTGTTGTCCTTAAGCCATTTTGCCACAACT